TTTGAATTTTATTTTCCTTCTTCCTTTTCTTCTCATCAATATGTTGATTTTCTATACTTTAATATGAAATTTATACTTTTCTTATGAATAATTATTGAAGAAATATGGCTATGGTACCTAGGGAACTACCCTAGGATCTATGTTTTTAACATAAAAAATCCATCGCCTGGGCACCCCTAGTCGCCTAGCCTCGCCTTAGCGCCTTGAAAACTATGACCAGTCCTCTCGCTACAACTCGCTAGTCCACTCAACCGTGCTAACCCAGTGAACGTGCGACCTGGCTCACCCGGACCCCGTCTCCCCTACGGTCGTGGGTACTACCCTAACTCATCAGTTCGGAGACCCGTGTGGCATATGACCCAGATCCGGCACCGAGACCCGTCTCCTCCACGGTTCACGGGCCGACAAGGACGAGTTCCACCCCGCAATCAGTTAAGTTAGCAGCTCGGGCACCCAAGTGCCCCGCCCTCGGCACCCACGACCGAAGTCGAGGCCTCCACGGACTTGCCTCCACACTAGCACAGAGATAGGGCAGGGGGGTAAGGTCTCCCCTTTCCCACTTACGGCAATGGCCTCAAAGCCAAGGCCAAGGCCTCCCAGCAGAAGGAGCCTCTACAACACCCCTTAGAGAAGGGAACGAAGCCAAGTCAACACCACCACAGGCCACGACACATCCAAAAGGTCCAATGGCGCCTCCCAATACAACCGACGCACTCCCTTCAGCCGAAGCCGAGGTCCTCAGCTTGGACCTCCACCACGGCCTCAGGAGTGGGGGCAAATGATGTAGGTGCAGATGGTCTCGTCCTATCATGGGCCTACATGTGTCAGGCGGCACAGTTCAGAGTGGACCCAATCAGGGCGGACTTTGCGGAGCCAATAGCGCGGAGTCACCTGGCGGACCACATCCAGACTGTCCGAGCTCACCTACCTGGCCTCAAGTATAAATATGAGGTGAACCCCCCCCCCCCAAGGTAAAGGGTTGGAACTTAAGCTCTCTAGCTAGCACTTGAGAACTCTTGCGGTCTCGTCTGAGTGTTTGCACCTCAGACCTCGTTCACCTAATACTCCTCCTAATACTAACTTGACCGTCGAAGTCTCCGCCTCGGGTTTTCACTCAGGGTCTCTGACATCCTCATCTTTGCAAGATCGACCTACTAGTCCTCGGCCACCTCGGACCTCAGACACTTTGGTCACCCTTCAGCTTAGGAGCAAATTGACAGTATTGTCCTCGGCCATCCCAACCATCAACAAGTTCCATATGTTTGCAACAATTCTTTAATTTCTATATCCAATAGTTAAATTTTCTGAAGCAATTTCTAGGAGGTGGGTTTGTCAAGCACATGCAGGTTGGCTTTCTTTTCCACAACTTAATTTTACTCAATTAATCTGTTATTTATCTTTCATTACTTCTATGTTTTTGTTTCTTATTTGTAATTTAGAGATTATCTGTTATGTTGTTTAAACGGGAAAATGAATTGCTTCATGATGTCTTTGGATTCGCACCCAAGGGAAAACAAAATCTTGTAGGCAATGAACTGCATTTGTCAAGCAGTGAGAAGGATGTTTTCACTATTAACCAACACTAAAAGCCACTAAAAGCTCCCATGGTGATGCAGAAGGATGTTTTCACTTTTGACCATTATTACTTTTTGATGCAACCTATCAGTGTAACATGGTGAATCAAGCAACCATTATTTATTAATGTTCATTGCGGACCCTAAATTAATATATATGCTATAAAGGTTTAAGGATTGAGACTTATGTTGGACAGATTTTGTATGCCCTTAGCTTCAATCAGTTTTAATGTACTTTTGATATTTAATATAAATAAATGAAGTACATGTATGATTCATGTTGTGTGGTATACTTCTGTAAAACCCTAAAACTTGACACTTAATGAGACTTGTATTGGTTTTAAATGTTTACAGCCGTTGGATAAGTCTGGGAAGATTTATCCTGCCAAGGCTGACACTGGTGTGCTGCCAACTGTTGGGGTGGCTTGTCTTAACCGCCAGACTTTTGGAGGCTCTCCCTTCTCTCCTCTTTTTCAGAAAGGGGGCTCTCCCTTCTCTCCTCTCTTCCCCACGTCCTCTCTCTTTCCCATTGCCTTCTCTAGACTTTTGGAGACTTGACCAACCTCTACAGCCTGACCATGGCATCAACACATTTTATTGTCAATGCTTAGATGGTTGATAAAGAGAATTAAATGGCATTCTTAGGACATTTTTTTACTTTTCAAATGTCACTAAACGGTGATTAACGCGCCATGCTGGTGGTGGCTCTGCTTCGGGACGTGGACTTCACCACTTTTTGACGGCATCAAACCTTAACAACATCAATATTTGAACTCGTTGTGAGTGCATATTAACAATTTATCTAGGGAGGTCGTATTATTTTGAATTTCTCATAAATTAACTGTTCATTATGCCAAATAAAGCGAAGGGGTGAAAAAAAAAAAAGTTATGGAAATGCCTCCCACCGGTGTCAGACTTGAAACACATTGTCGATCCATGTAAAACTGCTGCTGACTTGCATTTCTTTGTGATAATCTTCCATCTCAGTGCCTGTTTGGAGGGCTGAAGCACAGCGGCTTCTTTTCAAGGTGGTCCTACGAAATTAGCTTCCAAGCTATCTTTTGTGAAAAATCTCAACGCTCAATTTGGAAGGAGTATAAATACAAATATAGAGTGCAAAATCTTGTATTTTGTATTATTTTGTATGTATTTACACTCTACATATTTACATTTGTACTCCTTCCAAACTGAGCTTAAGTCTTCAAATCAGTTATCAGTTGATCATTTTTTCTGGGGTTATACACTTCAGCCTTTTCAGATGGTTTCAGAGCAACTGAACCGGCTTAGCTGAATGTTCAGCTTCAGCCCTCCCAAACAGGCCCTCAGGTCACCTGTCAACGCTTCACGCTTGATTATAAAGCCACCCAAGTCTACAAAAAGGAACTTCTAGAATCAGTGACTGAAGCCCATAAGGTGAGAGAGGTATCAAGGTTTACAATTTCGTTTTTATTGATTTCTCCATCTTTGAAATTTTTATGAGTTTGTACATTTGGAAATAGTGATAGATGGAGGAATCTATCACAATTTAGGGATACTCTAAGATACATTCAGAAAACTAATAAAAATTTTTGAAAGAATCAAATCATAAATTTTTCATCGTTTTAATACCTCTATGGTACTATACCAATTGTTTTAGCATTTTAGGTAGTTGGGAGGAGATTGGAATTAGGGGTGTCAATTGGACTGGATTTGGTCCAATCCGATCCAGTCCAATGTGAGTCCATTATAAATGGACCAGGTCCAATTCAATCTAATGAATGTTTTGGACCAATTTGGACTGGTCCAATTCAATGTCTGAATCATTCAATTTGTTCAAATTTATTTTGATTTAGATTGGTTTCAATCCAAACCCGGCCTATTGATATATATATTCTTATCTTATATCAATGGACCAGATATTGACTTAATCCAACCCAATTCAATATAAATTTGTTATGAACGGACCAAGTCCAATTCAATCTAATAAATATTTTGGACTGGATTAATCCAATCCAATATATCTTGTTGGTCCGTCCAATCCATCCAAATTGATTTTGGACTGGATGGGGTCCAATCCAAAATGGATCCATTGACACTCTTAACTAGAATGTAGGGGAAAAGGAGAACCTTCAAACTATATCTACATGCTAGATCCATTGTGAAATGCGTGCAGAAAACAAGCCCAGGAGAGAAAGCACAAACATTGGAGACAAGATTTAATAGTTAATAGTTGCCTATATCCACAGACAAAAAGCTGAGCACGGTGTGAGAGCCGTTTTGTGAGGACTGAACCCGGTCTCAGTTTCTCCTGCTAATTCCCAAAGCATAGGGTTTTTCTTCTCACAAACCCTAATTCGATCTCCAAGAAAATATAGACTCACCCCCTTGCCCCAGCCCCTCAGTCCCAACTTGTCTCCATGTTAATCTCACCCTCAAAATACAATACATTTACACAACATATGCCTGCCATTACATCCAACCACCATAAGGATGCAAACTAGTGAGCGTCCGCAAACATTGTTGGCTGACATAAACACAGACATGTGAATTAACAGTTCGACAATAACTGATTCAATCATTCACTAATTTTTTTATTAATTACTTATTTATTTTATCACTAATCAAATATACCCTATATCCTTTTGAAATTTAAATTGATATTGTAATTGACCATTATATATATATATATATATGGGGAGATCATGGTTTTCAAAATCGAGAACCGGTCATTTGATTGGTTCCATTTTCCCTTAAAACCATTGATTTTGGTCAGCAAACCACTGAACCAGCCAATTAATCGTTCGAACGATTTTGACCGTTTTCTAATTTTTTAAATTTTTTTAATTTTTGTCAGAACGGGCCGGCCGTTCGAGTCAAATGATAACCTAACCCCTGACCGGTTCAGTCACCAGTTCGTTTTTAAAAACCATGGGGAGATTAACTTGTGATCGGCAAATCCATCCCAAACCCGGAGATAATAACTCGTCTCCCTAGTCTGCGGTCGGACTGAAATTCTGACGAGAATGGATGTTGAATGGCCTATATTGTGGACACTTTGAGAAACAATATACATAGCTATCTCCTTTCTCTCTTTAACCCATGTTCCTTTGTTGACGACGCATTAGTCGCTTGCTTCCCGGGTGAATGAACAAGGCATGGCCGCAGAAGAACGATGGTGAAGATAGATGGATAACTACTGCGACTAGTTTCACTTCATTTTTGGTGTCGGGATTTTTCTTTTTGTTTTCCTCTGAGAGGTTCACACTCTATTAACCATCATGCGTTAAATCAAACGACTTCCCAAAATAATGCATGTATCAGGTGTCAAAGGAAAATAGAAGCTCCATATAAGGAGCTTTCCTACTGGATTGTCGTCTTCTTTTTGGTGCAATGGCAGACAGGGAGAAAAGAAAAGGAAAATAAATGTTAACCAAAAAAAAGAACAGAAAACAGAATAGGTACAGTCAAAGAGTTGGTACCTTAAAATAATTATCACTTGTCTAGTTGAATAAAGATTCATTGCCTCAACATTATGCACAAAAAAAAAAGAAAAAGAAAAAGAAAAACAGGAAGACTGAAAGAAAAGCAGTCTCCCATTACATCCATATAACTCGTAATATGTATGTGCCCCAGCATAAAAGTAGTTAACCTATCAGCTAATCATAACGAATTAATTTCAGAAACTATATCTCGAACAAAAAAATAGGTGACCCAGGATTCAAGGAACATGGAAATATCTCATTTTCTTGAACAATGAGTTCGATGAAAGAAAGTCTATGGTCCTCATGGGAGTATATTTAATTCTTTTAAATTTGTTATTGTAGAATCCATGCTTGCCCATCTGGTTTTTATACTTATCAAAAACGTTCTTGCCGTGTTTATTTTATGTTCAAAGTCCTATTTGGGATTCTGGATTAGGCTTCTGTATTTTTCCTGCATTTTGGTTGGGTTTCTCCTTCTAGAAGCAAAACCTATGAGTTCAAAATTGTCTGTCCTTTGGATGGATGGACTTGTTAGATAATGGAAGTTACCATCCAGAGCTGCTCACTTCTTTGATCAATACCACCCAATGGATTTATGAAAATTGATGTGGACCTACCTATAGGGGCATTGCATAATTTGTTGGCTTCTGAACGCATTATCTTCACTTGGTATTATGGTGACAAGCTATCTTCATCTGAGCTTCCACTCTGTCTTGTACTATACCTGTTAAGAACCGGTAGTGAAGCACTAGCAGATATCCGAAATGTTCTAGCTGAACCCACCTTTGCTCTCTGCTGTATCTTTCCCACTTCTCTGCATACCTGGTCCAAAACCAATAAGAAATCTCTTACGATCACAAAAATTCTGAAAGGATGGGCTTCCTCCCTTGCTGCATCTCCATGAAAATATTCTGTGACCTCTTTCACAAGGCCTAGAGCCTTCCTTTCATCACCCTTGACTCTAAGGATCTCCTCTTCAGCCTCCTTAAGAAATAATTTCATTGCTTCAAAGAAGTTGCCCTGTTTATTTGATTTCTCATATTGCAAAACCGACCTGACTTTCTCAAGCCCCATCTCAAGTTTTGACAAGTAACTGCTTAGTACATCTGAGTCCATCCCTGCTGCCTTTTTGACATTTTCAAGCTCTCTGCTCAGTCCGGCCACAACATTTAAACCTTGCTTCCTGAAATCCTCCTCCTTTGCTTTCTGGTCCAGTTTATTAGGAAGATTCTCCGGTGCAGGATCAGAATGCGTGCCTTCAGACCTGATAATCTCTTGCACTACAAAGTGGAGCAATGTTGTCTTCCCATCAACACCTTTTACATCTACTAGTTTTAAGAGTGTGTCCAGCTTAAAAGCTCTAGCATCACCACGGTTGGTGCCAACATTCATCCGGTTCCCTGTTCTGAGAACAGCTTCCAGGAGTTTGAGGAATAGCCGGCTGTTCTTCAAGTCTTCACATGCTGCCTGCCAAGTGTCATGGATGATGAGATTCATTTCACACATGAAAACTGCTATTCAGATTTCTACCTAGCACAAATAATTTAGGGGTTTTCACATACAATACCTCCAAGGTTTCAAAAGACTTCCTCAGGTACTTCACTTCTGTATCAAAATTGGCCCTGTATAACATTGCTTCAATTCTTTTAAAGGCAAAAGGTATATCTAGCACTGCTTTGAGAAATCTCTCTGCAGAACCTAGTTTTGACATGTCACCATTATGGTTTTTCAATTTTAGTTCTTCTTGCTTGGTTGGGGCCATTTTCACCAGAGTTTCTAAAAGTTCAACACCCAAACCGTCAGGATTACCTGTTTCACAAGAACATATGTTATATGCACTGCAAAATGACAAGAAGCTGGATATACAATAGTCTGTAAAGACGAAGTAACAAGAAAAGCATTAATAATATCTCTTTATGCAATTTACATTTTGAATGTATTGGTAATGCCAGCTTAATTAAGTAGAGTGAAATGAGTGGACTTCAGCAATATTGGGGTTTTGTATAGACTACAAATTATGGTGCTTGGTTATGCCAATTGAGACTTGATTCTTTTAGTCCACAGCACATATTTTTACTGCTGACACTTAACAGAGAAGAAAAGTGATTATAAGAAAACAAGCTGAATTGAAGAAATTGTTATTTCAGATTACTCCATTGTCAGTTGTTTATGGTGAATAACTTACCAGCTTCTTCTTACACTCTATGTTCCCCAACTGCAAGTAGTTTATATTAGCTAGAACCCTAGGAATGCTATAGCACAAATATGGTTGTGATTGGTTCAGTTGGATTCTCGTATTTATGCTAACTGGGGTATCAATCTAGACAACTTAAGCTAGTCATTCTGAATTTGAATGCACCATGACCATCATCTTAAACAACTCCAGTATAAGTTGTGATTGACAATCTTGTGTGCTTTCCCGACCCATAAGTTGCATCTGGTTTTACAAGTTCCTAGTATGGGCATTGGTACAATTTGTATAACCTTGACCCAGGTCTTAGACACTACTTCTTGTAGATGGAACATAGGAGACGTTGGGGCTATGATTTCAGAAGAATGGATGCCTACTTCTATGGGTGAATCTCTATGGTAAATAAAACAGAAAACAATCATACATCCCTGTGTTCCTTCTACAGGTGATTATTGTAAGACACAATCGTCAGAACTGTATCACCGAACAGACACAGAAGAGAACCAGAAAACTTACCATCTAAAAGTGCTTCGGTTACCTCATCCCTTGTTACATTCAATGCTCTCAAAAGTATAGCTATGTTCTGTGACTTTTTGGGGTCCAAAATCCTGTTCTCCTGTTCAATACGAGGGAGAACAGTTCTTCTATTTGCTTCTTTCTGAACCACATTTGTTGAATTGCAGCCAAAAAGAGTCTCTATCATGTCTTCATTCAATCTGCAAATAAGTAACATGGTATTCAAGATTGAAGACTGTGTAGCAGGGGAACAGGACCGAGTCAGAAATTCTTAACATTCTACTTACTGAAACGAACTTGAGTTTAGCCGGTCCCACACCATGGCTCGATCTGAAGTTGCTCGTACTTTGTCCCAATGCAACGGCTTCAACCTGGGCTTTGCTCCATCTAAATCATCTCCTGAATCGAGATGCTTTGAAGAATTGCCACCTTGATTAATTTCCGAATTCGATACTGGTATCTTGGTCCCACTAGCAGCATTTAAAATTGGCATCTCAGATTGAGGCCTCGGTAATGCTTGGACGGGCTTCGGCGGGATCTTTGTTTCTGTAGGTCTTTCCTTTCCGAGTACTGCGGGTGGTGGAGGTGGTGGGGGAGGAGGAGGGATTTCAGACGACTTCGGGGGTGGATCGTTTATTGAGTGAGGAAGCACCAAATTCGGTGGTGAAGGTGGGGATGGAAATTTCGCCCTCCTCTTGGGAGGTGAGGGTGTTCTAGGTTGACTATTTTGGACTTGGTACAGTTGACGGCCTTTAGGTGGTAGTGGAGGAGGTGGTGGTGGTGGCGGTGGTGGCGGTGGTGGTGGTGGTGGTTGTGCTGCTCCTGCTACAGGTGACCTTGATACACAGACATGTTTGTCATCAGGAGGGGACACTGAAAAACGTGATTTTGGAGAAGACCTCCAAGAAGGAGATGTGGAACTAGTGGCACTACTCATGATGCCTTTGGCAATTGTGGCCAGAGTGGTGGCTGTGGGAAGAGTTTGACGTGTAACAGATGTGCAGGGACTTCCACTATTCCCAACAGATGAGCCCTGGGGAGTGTAGAACGACTCCTCATCAGGCCACATAGCAGTAGGGGACGAACTTCTCTGTGGAGCCCTAGGCAACGGCGGCAGAGGCTGAAGCTCGGGGCTCGGACGGTGCAGCTCCGACCGACTGACCGAGCTTAGTTTGTGATAAGGGGAAGCGATTGCTTTATTGGATCGGCTGCTTCCTCTCCTATTCGAAGGTTCCATGGTCCCCAGGTAGAGAAAGTCCGAGGAAGGGACTCCTGATTCCTGTAGAAACCGTTGGGAATTCCCTCCAACGAGCTTCTGAGATTCAATTGTGTGTTTCCCGCACTGTCTGTAAAGGAAGAACGCCAATGCGGAGAGCATGCCCAATGTGACAATCCCGACGGAAATTCCAACGGCAACCATCTTGGTTGGACTGGCTTGCTGTGCTGCTGGAGTTGTAACAGGGGTGGAGGCATTGTTGGCTGGAGGAGACGGAGTGGTGGTCTGGGTCTGATCTGGGGTTGGTCCAGTGGGTACCTCTGGGAAGAAGGGCTGGTCTGGGTTTGGAAAAACCGAGCTTCCGGATGGAGCGGGCGGTGGCTCTGCGGCCGGTGGAGTGGAGTCAACCGGAAACAAGGGCTGGTGTAGAATCCTTCTGTGACCATCATTGGTGCTCAAAATTTGACTTCTGGGTATTATCCCACTTGAATTTGATGGGATAATTGTGGAAGATAGAGCCAAAAACACAAAAAACAAGAGGTCTACATAAGGAAATTTCACCTCCATGGCTGTTCTTCGTTGACGTTTCTGGTTTTCCTTTTTTCCTCTCTCTGTCGTCTGTTTTTGCGTTCGTTACTTCGTTGGCCGAGACAGTGAGAGGAGGAGAAGAAGCTTCTTTAGACGGTAAGGTGTAGATGCTTGCTTGAGCTTGACCGACGGCAGGAAGATCCCCATTTTTTTCTACGATTTAGTGTTTTTTTTAAGAGAAATGCTTTATAAATGGCAGATGGCAGTGAGAATCTACTTTTGCCGCTTTTCCGGGGTGTTGATCATTCTATTGGGATTTGGGACTCACAGTTTGTAACTTTATACCCATAAAACTCCAGTGGCGAAAAGATCAATGACGAGATTTTTCTTCCTTTTTTTTATATTTTTGTAGAAGGGATGAGATGTATCACTCGATTCCTTTCTTCTGAGTTCCGACTTCTGCCGTGAGCAAGAAGATCGAATTTTAAAATTTCCTTGTTTGGGGCACTTGGCTCAGTTAATTCAAAGTGGGTTTGTTTTAACTTTAAATATATTGATTAAATAAAACAATCATGCTGTATATGTATAAATAGTAATAAACACAGTGCATTCGAATAGTCTAAAGAGGAATTTAAAAACAGGGAAAACCGATTCAGCAATACATTGCATCCGTAGAAGTCAACGTCCGATTAAATCAACCACTGCCTCCGGAATCAGAATTCAGAAGAAGGGACGACGGATGAGCCATTCACCTCATCTCAACCTTGGTGGTGGTGGTGGTGGACAAATGTTGGATCTTTTTCCCGACAAACATTAATAGATCATTTGTTGAGTGAATCTGTCCAGAACTACTTTTGGTTTTGGGGATGATGTGACTTGTTTGTTAAATTAATCGGACAAGTACGGATACACCCACCAATTTGCCTACTTCTGCACTCTCTAGAGACTAGAATCGAGACTCTCTCTCTCTCTCTGTTGCATCGTCTGAGAGCATTTTCTCTTAGCTTGCTTTTCTATCGTGTAACTTTTCCTTTTGTACAATTTTAATTACTTCACCTATCTGCTCCTTGACGTACGGTACACCTAAGCCGCACCCTTGGGCATTTGAGATATCTTTCCCAGTTGGAACGGCAACTTTCATGGAATCAGAACACAACAACAACTGTCGGCCCGGTCTCCAAATAGTGAGTGAGCCCAAAGGATCAGAATCGGATGGGCTGAGCTGAGCTGAAGATAGGGTTGCGGCCTTAAATCCGAAAGCAGCAAATTGATTCATTGTTGATTATGAAGATTGAAGGGATTGCTGAGCTCATAATGATCAGTCACCTGGATTCTTGTTTTTGTTTTTGCATGCATGAGTTCTCTCAGTTAGTCAACAATTGGAGTTTGCTGTATTTTAATTTTTCTATATATAATTGAAGATGGTTGCCAAATTTCCAGAAATCCCAACTCCCAAGTGGTGATGACGTTTAGTTTGGGAACCTGTGGGCCACCATGACAGCATTTTACAAGTGTCGAACTCAATCGGGATCCTCTCAACGAACCAACCATTCAATTCCTTCTCATTTTCTCTCTTTTGCTGTTTTGTTTTTCCAACTCAAGTACTGTAGTCCGTTGGACAAATTGTTGTTTTTTCCCCTCTTGTCCAACATATGGGCTTAGCTCACGTAGTCACGTTGATTGCTGACATAATTGATGGCCCTGCTGAGATGGGGGGGGGGCGTCAGTAGGATGCACTGGACCACTCGTGTGAGGTGTGATCTGAGGAGGCCAGAAAAATCTACTTATTACTCTCTGCAACTACTCCAAGAGACATAGACATACGCACATCCGCTGCAACCCTCAATGAACACGCGGATACAGTTTATGTTTCATTGGGGATTACAAGTCGGTGCTACAACCACGGTCGTAGCAGATGTGAACTCCAGGCAAAAACCAATAATTCCAAACGTGGTGGTGAAAATGAGAGCTGCCATCTGCTCATAATAAAATATTTTTTTCAATATGGTCTGTGGTAAGATATTGTTGGAACGTGTTGAAAAAAATATATATATTGTGCGGGGCAATTCGTTCATTATATCTAAGGTATGTTAATTTACAAAACTAAAATATCTGCTGGAGTAGCTCAGTTGGTTAAAGCGTGTGGCTGTTAACCACAAGGTCGAAGGTTCAAACCCTTTCTCTGGTGCTTTTAACTAATTCGAGAAAGTGAATCCTGACTCCTGAGCGAGTAAATTTGGTTATTGGTTCTAACCAGCAGCGGCGATCATCTTATCTGCGTTAGGTGAGAGAAGGAAAAGAGGGGAAATAAACAGGAACCGACATGGGGTGTTAAAAAGTTAAATTGTAATTTCATATTAAAAAACCAATAAAAGTAAGAAATAGAAATATAATTTGTTAATTAACTGAGAAGAGCAAGACTATTAACTCATCGTTTCGTCCAGGTACTTGAAAATGAGCTGTCCCAGGTAACATGCATATGATATAAGAGTGATTTGAGTTTGAACTTACAATATAATCAGTATCACATGGAGAATATCTCATCTTGTAGGTGGAGATGTTCTCAATTAAATGTGGGTAGAATTTTGGTGGACAGGAGATCCAGAGTTTTGTTTCAAATTTGACAGTCTTATTTGTTTATTTTTTCTTATTTTTTTGGATAATTTGTTGTCTTGTTTCTTTGTGAAAAGCAAGAAAAGAAGCTAGATGTAGTCCCAATACAAGAGAGAATTGAGCGCAAGTGGAAAGTGGTGTCATCAATTTTTGAGATGCAAAATTTGCACCGTTAATGAATTTTTTTTTTTTGATAATCATTAATGAGTATAAATGAGAAAGTAGATTAAAAAATATAATATTTTTTGTCATGATTACAAATAAATGGATGCAAAAAACTACGTGTAAGGGCAGTGCAAACAAAGGTGAAGTCGTGAAAGGGCCACGTTTGCTTTTACCGTGGGGCCTACGTGTAAGGGCAGTCCCACCTTATGTATCTAGGTAAGTGTTTCTCAAGAAAAATTTATTTAGGCAAATGCATCATTTATATTCTTTTATTTTTCATGTAAATAAGACAATGATCATTTTATCCACCTAGGAGATGGATAGGAAAATAAATTTTCCCTAATTCCTAAATAAATCTGAAAAAAAAATATAAGTTTCTTCATGGGAATCAAAATCCCATTAACCAAATTCTCCCTTTTAAAATCCAAAAAAATAACACCCTCAATTTGAATAGAATGCAAATACATACAAAATAATATAAAATATTAAAATAAAATCACAACTCAATCACAATACTCCTTCCAAACTGAAACTTATTGTCCCCAAAACCAACGCAATCACAACGTGCCAAACCATGTGTCAGATTGGAGACTAGGGAGATCTAGTTGTAGTTCCGTCATCCCCGAGTCTGGTAACCTCGTCAATGCCCTCCTTACTATAGTAATTTATTTGAATCTGACTCCCAGCAATTTGTGAAGGCGATAGCTGGTATTATCATGAGAATGGATCCACTGTGTAACGCCTTATAGTCATATCCGTGGAAAGATCAAGTTAAGTTGGAAATTGTCCAAAATTCATCATTACTTTTTAATGAATTTTCTTAAACTCAACATAATTTTTCAAAACGTCCGAAGCTCACTGACACAGTGTGATATTGGTAACTTGACTAACAGGCATCATTAATTTACTATTTTATCCTTCGAATATATTCTCTCTGTCTTACCTAAAGTCAGATACAAGCTTCACACTACTCGGACGCCAGAATTCCTCGGACTAGAGTCGTCTGCTCTCATTCTTAGTCTCACACACACATAGAGTTCATCTTCCTTTCCCAAGGGAAAGGAAGGAGGAAAGAACCTTGGAGGAAACACCCGAAGCTGGAAGCTGGAAAGAAGATGGTTAAAGATAAGATTTTGAGAGAGAAAGAGAGAGCGCATAGCTTCGTCTAGCAACTGCACAGAAACTCTTTTGACGACTAAAAACTAGCAGTCCATGGCAGTTAGCCAAGGCATATCCAAATAAAATGTTTAAACAAAGTGTAGGTTTTCAACCATGTGTTTTCAACCACTCAAACCCCAGCCAAGATGGAGATGGGAATTTCATGGAGTAGGCACAGCAAGTGCACAACGAGTTCTTCGTTTGAACCTTGAGCCCCGCCACCACAATACCGACGGGCGACGGCAATCTTTGTTTAAAGTTTGTAAAACGAAAAGAAATTTCCAGGAAAATAGACGGAAATCTTCCTTACGCGGTAGATGATGATCAGCTATAAAAATCCGATACCAATAGACCCATAAACTCCGACCATTTCATTCCCATCTTTTCTTCTAAATTCTTTTCTCCATCAATTTCCGTTATGGGGTTTCTTTCTTCTTAATTCCTCCGGTTACCCATTTCATTTTATTACTGTGTTCTCTGGGGAAAAGAAAAAACGTTTCCAGAGCTCACTATGTTGTGCTCTTTACTTCCACCCATCCATCCGATCATAATTCAGAGAGAGATGAGCGACAACCAACCAGAAGCAACAACAAATAAAGTTAAGAGATGGATCCAGTACCGCTAGTGGACCGGGAAATCGATTCTTCATCCAAGGTTGTTCCTTATTTTCTTGAAATTATAGTTTTATTTGCATGAAACGAATTCTTATCATTATTGTTGATAGTGTGCGCCCTGAAGTGATGATCTATTCTACATGATAGGATTAGTTATCAACTCGAAGCTGGGTCAATTCGCGGGGGTGGGTATGTTGATGACATTCTTAACGGATGATCTTGGGATGAAGCTCACTCATGCAGCGGTCATCGTTAATGTGCACGACGGACTGACCACATTCTTTGTCGGTCGGAGCATTGTCACTTGCCAACCTTGTTGATGGTGTTGATGTTAACAGTACACCTCCCTGCAGATTAATAGGATAGCGAGGAGAAACTTTACGTTCCTTCGCCATCCCGTTCGACACTGCAGAGTGGAGAAACTGCCGATGCAACCACCACAGTGAAGCATACGCGAACACTGACGAACGTGGGCAAGGCATCTGTGACATCGCAGGTGGAGTCGATAAAAATCTTGGTCGAGCCGGATCTTTACCGAATGAGAAGAAAATTTATACGGTGACGTTCAGCGGGGGTTTGATGCCATCGGGGACGACTAGCTTCACTCGTTTAAGTGGTCGGACAGGAAGCACGTTGTGGGTAGTCCTATTTTATTTCAGTCAAAAAAGAGTTTAACAAGCTGACTCACCATTCAGGGGCAGTTTAGTTATGATATATACATTTAAGTTGACATGGACAACTTGGGTCATTGAAATTTAATGGTGTTCTAAGGGATGATGAGTTCTAGAAAATAAAATCTCATTGACATGGTGAATTTTGAACATTTAGACATTTTAAAAAATTATGCTGAATTTAATTATGATGAATTTAAGAGAATTCATAAAAAGTGATGGTAGGTTTTGGACACTTGCCCTAAAATAAAAACGCAAGGCAAGAATAGAGGATATAGAAACAACAACAGCATTCAAAAACATTCTACTTCAATCACGATAATAGTAGTAAACTATCAACTGCCACAAATTCAAAAAATGGCAGGCCCAACAAAACTTTGGCCGCATCCAGATGGCAGAGTAATAGGCTATACAGTTCAAATCCCAAGAAAACCCCACTTGATGAAATTGATTAAGGTAAAAACAATAAATTTGAACACAATAAGTGTACATTCTCCATATGTACTTAATAACCACTCGATCCTGCAAAGTGTTTTTTCATTGCTCGGTCCTTCCTGTGATGATTGCCACCACCTCCTCTCCTTCCCCTACCCCTGGAGTTCGGTATATTCTCTCTCCTTTCTGTCTCAGTAACATTAGAGGACTGATGATCCTGCTGCTCGTTGGACCCAATCAGCTTCTTAACAGCCCCAATGGGTAAATTCCCACCACGCCCGAGGCCATGAATCAATTCTTTCTGTGCCTGATTGACTAATGCTGCTTCCTGTGAACTTGAAACAGCAACTGAACCTGAAACTTTGTAACTGTAATTCTTACCATCCTTGACATAGAACTGGGGCTTCTTTCGAGAATTCCATCTCGAACCAGAAGTATTTGGGTTGGAATCTTCAGTTTCAGCCCCCCATGATTTCCCGGGAGTTGAGTTGATTCTGTCTCCTAATGTCTCTGTCTCCTCAAATCCTGATTCCACAAGACTCATACCAAGATCATCAAATGAATCATCATATTCATCTTCATACTCATATTGTGAAGCAAGAATTGCAGTTTTCATCGACTCCTTGGATCCAGAGTCTAGGATTTCAGTTTCAGGCACGCCAACTTTGGACTTCCTTGTGAACCGCCCAGTCGAAGACGAAGATGAAGGGGCATTAGTTTGCCAGTCTTTCACCGCAGCAACCACATTGGTAAAAGCTAGTGCTGGAGGTTCCATTAATGCCCCTTTACCTTTAGCATCCCTGCTCAAAGATGACACGGACTTGGGTGGTGGAATCTTCTCAAGAGAAACGTCTAAGGATAGTAAATCTTCATGTAGAGTCCCATCAAGAATCCTCTGAATCACCTCTTCTGGGTTCTGGTTATAGACTTCAAGACATGCAGAAAGGAACCCTTTACCATAATCAGGGAAAAGGTCTTTTATTTGACTGATCTTGGATTCTGTTATAGCAGCATCTTCATCCATCTGCAACTTGCTAGTTGATGGCACATTTGGTACCTTATTTGTTGCCTTCAAAAAGTGGGACACCAAAATACAAGATAAATACTGAAGCTGTTCACCATCCATGGATATCCATCCTGCATGTGGGAAGTAATAATTGATGTCAATTACTCCAGATTCTAACACTAGACTGTTGGTTGACGTTAGTGTCAAAAGAAGTCATCAGAGAGTGAAAGGAAAAAATAGAAGGTAGTATATGGTAATAAAATAGAGAAGTCCCCAAAAGCAGCAGCACACATATGGGATATTGTCTACATTAAATTTGTTTTCTGAGGCTAACTACCATCTTTCCGTCCTAGAAAGCTAACAAACCAAAATCTGCACAAAGGCTGTAAGAAACATTGTTATTGATACCCACTAACTATTTGAGTCACATAGAAAGCCTTAAAAATAGCACAATAAAATTTGTATTTAAGTTTCCAGATAAGATGTCGTGACAGATGGTTTTAGTAAACAATGTTTCCATTTTTAATAATGACACTCAAATTATTTGTAATGTCCTCTTGGAAAAATTATATAGAACAGTTATATATATAACAACGATATTAATTTATAATTGAGAAGACATGTTAATTGCAAAAGTCAAGGCAAAGCTTTCTAGACCATGACATTTCACATATTCCTACAATTTCCAGGATTTAATTCTTTCATAAAATATAAAGTTAACCATATTCAGCATTTTGTACCATCAAAAGTTGCCTGCTTTATACTCAAATGATAACTAAAGGAGTGATTGGAAATGCACTATTTCCATGATGATAATTGGAACTTAGAACTTGAGGTTACCTTCTTGGGGAAGAACGACTGAAGCCAAAGATGTCTGTATAAATGTTCTTTTTGAGGGGAATAGAGGAGGAACTAAAAGGATGTGAAAAATAAGATGTTGTGGGATTATGGGCGATGGTGAAAGATAAAGCTTTAAGACAATAGAAAAGGCATCTCTAACTAACATTATGTAGATGGAAAAAGTACTATAACAAGGGACTGATGTTTTTTGATAATACTGATATATTGGATACTGGTGTCAAATGCACACTAACCATTATTTAGTGAACTTAACCTAAAAGAGGTCATTTCCAATGTTGCTCCCACCTATCTGGGGTCATGGGAGGGGTAGACTGGATGGTCCTAACCTTTGGCATTTTTTAACACAAAATGTGGCTGCTCTCAGACTAGAATCCACATTCTCATGCTTGCCAGCCCGAGATTTTGCCACTATATCAAGTAACAGCCCCTAGAATTTGACCTAATAATGAACTTTTATTAAAAGAAAAATTAATTGGTTGAGTTAAGCAATCATACAAGAAATTGTTCCACTAATTCCATTTAGAAATCAAAACTCAACCATTCAAAAAGAAATGTTGCCTCTGATATTGACGAAGTTCCTTCTTTGCTTATATCTTTCTTGATTCCTCACCACTAAATGAAATTCTGGTTGAATTACTTCAAATTATACAATGATTCAGGAACAGTAAAAAAAAATGAGTATTTTTTTAACACAAATTACACTGAAGAGTAAAATTTCAATTCAAATGACTCCTTTGGCGAAAGGATCCTATCAATTCCATGGAATTCCCTGGAAAACAGTTTAGTGCCCTTCACCAATCACAGTTCAAGAGTCAAAATTTCGCCTTTCTAAAGTATATGTACTTTAAAATTTATACTCAATCCATAACTAATTAGGTGAAAGAAGAATACTAACGTAATAGCTAAAAGAAGTTCAAAAGGAAAATGCTGGAATAGAGAACTTCATCTTTAGGGCAACTAAGCTAAACTGAATCCAGTAAAAAAAGTTTTATAACAAACTAAACATGAGTAGCATTATTGCAAGAGATGATAGAAGTAAAAAACTCTTGAAATCCATGCCATAGATGTAAGTTTGAATACTCACCATTATCACATAGACTGTAAACTCTGGCCAATAAACTGTAATTTCTTTCAATTTTTTGAAGGAATGATCTACTCTTTTGGGTCTCTTGAACATTATGTGAAACTCCTAGACTGAGCTCCCTAAAAGCTTGAACCAAAATGTCTCCCCTTATTACTGCATCCTCAACCTTGGCAGGGAACATCTTTGCGCAAGTTACGAAGGAGTGGCTTCCTTCAAAAGCTCCATCACTTAGATAGCATAGTTCCAGTAATTTCCAACCAAATTTAACTATTCTCATTGACAACATCTTGAGGCTGGTATCAATATTTGGAAGTGATTCACCCAATGAGTTCTGAAACCCATCTGTTTGTGCTGTTAAAATTTGTTCAAAGCCTCTTTGTAAAGATGGCAGCAATGAATCATGCAGTCTTGCCAGGGTACCAAGTAATTCTTCATTCCCATAACTGCAAGGACTCAGATGCATATTAGATAAAATTATACAATCTTTTCAAGGAGAATTATAGGAAAGGAGACATGACAATGTAAAAAACAATTATTATCTAGGCAAAAACCTAGCCCCAAGTTTGTTACATTATCCATGTATTTATAAAACTACAGGATTTGAGCATAAACAGGTTACCTTGTTTCAACAGGACAACAGAAGTACACTGCAGCTTGTTTGTATGCATTAATAAAAGCATCCATTGATGCAATTGCATCATTTATGAAGTCCATAACCTACAGAAAAAGTCCGAATTCCATCAATCAATGCTGCAAACCTAATATCCAACCATACACCCTCCTTGACCATGTAAAGTTTGAATTGGACTAGCCAATATTTCCCTGGGATTGAGTAAAACTTGCCTCTAAGAAATCTTCATGAAGTTGACTACATCCATGATATTCACGACCTTCAGAAGAAAACAATACCTGAATATTATAGACCAAGTAATTAAATAAATTCTCATGGCTTGAAATCATGATAGTGATTAAAAAATGCTATAATGAGAAGACATACTTCTCTGCGTAAAAGAGCCATAAGTGGTGCTGTGTTGGACTCTCTTGATGGATGAATTATCTGTGTTGGACACTGATACATTATTGAGGGAAACTTCTATTTGACAATTTTCTTTTTCTCCGTACTTATTCAACACAAATTAACAGCTAATGTACAAAATGAATATCATCTTTCCCATAAAATGATATTAACAAAGAAATTTTCTTAGACCTTTCTCTAGGTTTCTATTGTTAAAATTCAACAAAATATACACTTTTTAGTGGTTTATATTTTTATACAGATATTCCCTGTCCTCGACCCCGATTCTGAAATAAATCCCCATCCCTGACCCCGATCCCCATCAGGGATAAAAACTGTCCATCCCCAATCCCCATGGGGACCCAAATCCCCAAAAAGTCTTAGTTAACAGTATTTTTTGAAAAATTTACTTAAAATAAATAAAAATTTTAAAATATAAATAATAATTTCAATATATTTTGATATATATAAATAATATAAATAATACCATATATAATAATAAATATTTAATATATATATAATCGGGGTCGGGGTGGGGCGGGAACCTCATTCCCCATCCCCACCCCGCCAAAGCAATCCCCATCCCCAACTCCATCGGGTCGGGGAAGTTGGCTGATATTTGTCTTGCCAAGCATCAACAATGATGTTGGCTGATCTTTGTGTCCAATAACATAGCAATTAATTCAGCGGCCAATTTTCTGACTTCCACCATGAGATATTTGCATTTCCAGCCTCCTAGAACGTTGTTCCTAGACCAACCCCCCAATGTTTCCTCTTAGAAACTGATAAACCCAACATCATGGTTGTTTCTTAGGCAATCCTACACCCATTTAGTGTGTAAGAGCCTCTAAGGATAAGAAAAAGGGGGTGAATGTGGTATCTTCCGGTCCCATAGGAGAGGGGAGCTCCATGAAGGCAAAGATTATTAGGACTAAGAGTGGGTTTCTCACTGGCTATAGAGAAAGTGGAGGTTGAGGGGGTTTCTCAAGCAATCATATGATGGATGCCCTTATAGCAGACAGATTTCAAATTTTTTGACATTTTATCGAGGAGGCTTGAGTTTTTAGCATCCAGAACAGCTAACTTAAATGGATTCCTAGGTTGGCAAACTCTCTAGCTGAGAACTTTGGCTAGAGAGAGTATAGAAGAGCTCAACTTTTGAAGGCCACAACAAAGAACAAGTTTCGTTGTACCATATTTCTAATATTGCTAATGTATTTGTATATGCCAATCTTATTGGCTGATTAATGCAGGAGCTGAAGAATCAAATTTGGAATTTTCTGAAATTTTCATTATATTTGGAAAGTATGGGTATTTTCATCATTTTTCCAGTCCCATGTGAGCTTGGGCTATAGCATCTTGTTCCTCTAGCTTAGTAGTGTTTCTCTTTCAATTTTCAGTTTATTTGCATTAGTAGGTAGAAAGTTATTATGTTTCTTAATGTACAAGACAAGGAGTGGCTTTTTGTAATTTTGGTGAATAATTCTAGGCCACACAAGTCACTCTATAAATAGATGTATTCTCTTCCTTTTGAAGCTAATGAAAACCCTAGAGTGATTCTAGGACCCTTGGAGTGATCTATCCATCTATCTTGTGGTAGTTTGTTCTAGCCCTATTACATTAGTTTGGCATCAAAGCTAATGGTTAGTCAGCATGTTCTCACAAAGTGATCGATTCTATAGGCCTAGGGTATCATTTAAATAATCTCATGGGTCTAGAATCAATGATGATAGGGTTTTTGAACCTTATGAAGGGTCTATGGTTGATTTACTTGAGAATTTGGTGGAAGAAAGTAGATCTAGTAATGCCGGCTAAAGGAGTAAGGTTTTTAGGAATGTTAGAAGAGAAAGGGAAGTAACTAATTTCAAGGGAGATGAAGACCACCGGAAAGCATTCTTTGATTGGATTGCTAAACTAGAAGAATATTTCGATAAGCATGATATCTCTAAAAAACAAAGATTTAGATTTGCACACATGAAGCTCACAGGTCATGCTAAAGTATGGTGGAGAACTCTTGAGCAACGAATAGAAAATAGAAGTGAATATCTTATTACCACATGAACAAAGATGAAGAGGTATTTGCAAGAAAAGTACATTCCTTAATACTTCCATGATGATCTATATGTGGAGTTGACTAATCTCAAGTAAGGTATGCTATCTGTAATTCAATATATGCATAAATTTGATGAATTATAACTTATATGTGTCATTACAGAAAGTGAAAGGCACAAATTAGTTCGCTTCACAAATGGACTAAGGAATGAATTATCTACAATTCAAATTTATGACTTAGATCATGCCTTTGAATTGGCTCTCAAGATAGAGAATGAGCAGCCGGTTACAACAAAGAATTTGAAGCCAATGAGAAGAAAGTACAAAGTTGAAGATGAAGAAGATGATTTCTTGCATGTTGATGCCCATCCAAGAGCTAAAGTTGTGAATGAAGAATTTCAACCTATAGAAGTTGTAAACATTGAAGATCAAAAGGGTGTGGGCCAAGAAAAGATTGGAATTGTTGAAGAAAGAACTTCCAACACCCATGGTCAACTTGAGGTTAATGATCAAGAAGAGATAGAAGTGGAGCAAGTTGAAGAAATTCATGTGCAAGATGCAATGTGTTGGTTGTGAAGTAAGTCATGACTTTACCTTACAAGTTCAACTGGAACCAATTCAAGAATTACAAGTTGACATAGTACAAGTTCCATCAACATCAATAATGGCAGAAGTTCAAGAGTTTGCTGAAGAACCAAGGGTAGATGAACACATAGAGATGGAGATTTCTCAACTAGAGATTGAAGGAAAAGTTCCAAATGTTGCAGTTGAGATTTTGGATATGAAAGTTCATAGTGATAAGCAAGGGGAAGATTCACCACAAGATAGGCTGACTGGTGATGTAAGTGGTCAAGAAGCTAATGTTATTGATTATTTAACAATGAAGGTTATGGAAGGCAGTGGTTCAGACATACATTGCTTTCAAGATCCATTTATAGCTGTGGGCAACATCTACTCTACAGTCCAAGTGTGTTGAAGTAGCTATGGGAATTACTACTCCTTTAGTCATTAAGGTACATCAACTTTTCATCTTCAAGTTCTTCAAAACTCAAGGACGAGTTTTTTTTTGAAACAGGGGAGAATAATGCAGGAGCTGCAGAATCAAATTTGGAATTTTTTGAAATTTTCTGTAGTTCAATATATTTGGACAGTATGGGTATTTTCATCATTTTGACCAGTCCCATGTGAGCTTGAGCTATAGCATCTTGTTGCTCTAGCTTAGTAGTGTTTCTCTTTCAATTTTCAGTTTATTTGCATTAGTAGGTAGAAAGTTATTATGTTTCTTGATGCACAAGACAAGGAGTGGCTTTTTTTGTAATTTTGGTGAACAGTATTCCGGGCCACAAAAGTCACTCTATAAATAGATGTGTTCTCTCTCTCTGATTCCAACCTTTTCTTACATTATGAGGACTAGGGATTGTCCTGCATTCTCCATATCTATAAATCACCATCATCTAAGCCTTGTCCCAATGGGGTCGGTTACATGAATCCTGTTTTTTTTTATCAGTAAAAGATAATTTTATTAGAATATATATTTGAGATTATAATTTGATGACCGACATGTCAACCCAGAAAAACAAGGGTAGATTACAATGAAGCCCAAAAAAGGTGTTGCATTGTCGCCACTTGCTTAGCAAGGGAATCAGCTAGCCCATTTGCAGTTCTTCTCACCCACTTGAATTCAGCACCTATTTCTTCCACAATCCTCTTCACTTCCCTGAGAACATGTTTGAGGTTCCATGGGGTATGTTTATTGTAACTTTCCCAAGAGATAACTACTTTAGAATCCCCTTCCACCTCTAGCTGTCTAAGGCCCAATTGCTTAGCTAACCACAGACCTTGTAACAAAGCCATCAGTTCAGCCTTGAATGAATTTGCAATGCCAAGTGGCCCTGAGTATAAGGCCAAGACTCTGCTCCCAGAATTTCTGATTACACCTATGCCTGCCAAACCTGGATTTCCCAAAGAACTCCCATCAAAATTCAACTTTAATCTGTTGCCTTCTGGGGGTTTCCATTCCATTCTGATTCTCTCTTTATCCCTTGAGGATCATGCTACTTCAGACCAATTTCTTATAATATGATTGACTGAGAAATTCTGGAAGCTGTCCAAAGTCTTTACCCAAAGTACAACCTTCACTTTTATGCAATCTATTACCTCCTCCAGAGATCTACTCTTTCCAGTGAAAATTCTGTTGTTCCTTTCTTCCCACACTACCCAACTGATTGCTACTTCAGTAGCTCTCCACATTATCCTCCCTCTTTTCTTTGGTTGCCTCAAGAAGTTCAGGTTGAAGATGTCCACCACCTCTGGAGGAGGATCCCACCTGCAGCCAAAAGGAGAAACAAAAACTCCCAGATACAAAACACAAAGGAACAAGAAATTAATAAATGGGAGATGGTCTCTCCACTATCCCTACATAAGCACATATGAGGAGAGAGGCAAGAAAAAGGATTTCTTTTCTGCAGCATATCACATGTACTTACCTTACCAAGGAAGATTTCCCAGCAGAAAGCTGGAATTTTTTGTGGGATGGGCTTATTCCATATTTCTTTCACTGGGAAGTCCACCCCTCGAGAGCTAGGTGAGGCAAGATGCTTAAAAAATGAAGAATAGGTAAATAGGCCATCTATAGAGCCGGTCCAAATTCTAGAGTCCTCCAAGTTTGGGTCCAAAACAACTGTCTCTAGAATAACAAGCAAGCAAATCAAGGAGGTATACTCATTATCCCTTAGGCCTCTTCTAAAACCAAAGTTCCAGTTTACCCTGGAAGGAGAAGGTATTTGGTATTCCCATTCTAGAGATAGTTTCACCCTTAAGGTTGGAAAGGACAAGAAGTTCAGGAAATTTGTCTTTTAATGGTATTTCCCCTACCCAAAGGTCTTCCCAGAAGTGGATTTTGTCACCCTTTCCCACATCACAACAAATGGAGTTAATAAAGATAGGGTAAACCTCGTGAATTGCTTTCTGAGGGGAAGCGGAGGATGAGT